AATTTCTAACATAAAAAATTATGTAGTTTATGTTGGATTAATCGGTCAGTTAATAAGGAAAATATTATTATATTAGGATAAATTTGATTAAATAATTGTTTTTCCTAGTTTTTGTATTAGAGTAGGATTCTAGTTTTATTAGTATAAATAAGGTTAATGTTTAGGATGTTGAAGTTAACTTTTTCCAGCAATAAAGTTCACTAAGTAATTTGTCGTTCTTGTTCTTTTATTTTTCTTTGTTCAGTTCATACCTTGGGCAGTAATGGTATACATATACGTGGTATCAGATCCTAGGGCTCGTGAAGACGTAGAGATGCCGGTTTGAGAGTCGGTTTCAAGAAAACTGTAGCCTTTCGCTGAGGGGCAGACGCAGCGGGAATCAGGTTCGGTTTAAGGGGGTGTGGATTGTTTTTGAGCGCGAGTTGAAGCATCTCAACAGCAGCCCCAATTTATCTTGAACGAGCTTCTTCTAAGGTAGAGAGAGACTAACCGGAGGCGCGAAATAAACGGACGGGAAGACATCAAAACGGGTGACTTTGATTTGGTTCGTTTTGCGGGTGACGGAAGACGATAAAGGTGGTCGTGACCTTGTCTTCTTGTTCGGTGGAAAAGTGCTCTCGGAACAAGTTTGATTAGGTCGGGGTTGTAAAAAAAAAAAGAATAAGACGTTGATCGGTTGTAATCAAAAGGCAGAAAAATCAAAGGGTTGTGTCTACATTAATCGGACAACAATGATTAGCGAGGAAGAAAGTTCGGTTTATTCGTGATAAGGGGATACCGACGTAGGTGCGTGAAAAGCGGGCGGGAAGGATCCGTCAAAGCAGGTAGCTTTGGATTCAGTTCGTTTGGCATGATTAAAAGAAAACGGTGAAACGGGTGGCTTTGTTTTCTTGATCGGTGGAGATGCCTCTTTGAGCAAAGGTGATCAGAACAAATGAAGAGATTGGAGAAACAACACGGTGTGGACATTATGGTAGTGGAAGTTCAAATCGAATGGCGTTGGATCTGGCCGAGGAGAGGTCGTGAATCCGGGAAAAGTCTAGATGGTAATGAACGTATCCAACGGGATGCCATGTTATATGTTACGTGTGTTGTGAACAATCAAAAGGATATGGAGGAATTTGGACGAGACCGAGGTGGAGGTTGGGTGTCTGGGAAAAGTCGGGATGGTTCAGGAAGACAGTGATTCAACATTGTTTTGAACTAATGGTATGACTAAACCGATTAAGGAGATGATTGTTGGATTAATCGGTTATTTAATAAGGAAAAGATTATTATATTAGGATAACTTTGATTAAATAATTGTTTTAATTTCTTAGTTTTGGTATTAGGGTAGGATTCTAGTTTTATTAGTATAAATAAGGTTAATGTTTAGGAAGTTGAAGTTAACTTTTTCCAGCAATAAAGTTCACCAAATAATTCGTCGTTTTTGTTCTTTTATTTTTTTTAATCAGTTCATACATTGGGCACCAAGATAATATCAGGTGGTATACATACAGTTTAAATATTTAGAAGCATTTTTGCCATGTAAAATATATTTTATTATAGTTTTTAATGAAAAAGTATAAATTTTTTCTATAAAAACTTGTGTGTTTCTCAATGATTTATATTATCCAAATATTACCAATAATCGCAGGTTATTCTTTAGTACACTTTTCAAGTTCCTTTCTATTATTTACTTATAAATATCAGCAAGTGAGCCCTATAAAAAATGTACTACAAAACCCAACTCATTTTCTCACTTTTAAACACATTCCCAAAGTAACCAAAATTAGTTTGTATCCAAGCATGGGTGGTTCATCATACATTGCAGTATGTGGTGCAGCATTGCTATGGATGGTCTTAGCCCAGTCAGAGGTGCAGGAGGTGTGCGACATGATGAAACAAGCACTCACATCAGCAGGTTGTAGCTAACAGACTACTCCTCATGCTCTGTATCAATGATTGGTCAAATTACTGGGTTATACAATAAGCTGTCATGCACGTATTATTCGTATGTAGGCTAGCTATAACCAGGAGTAAAGTCTATGAAATAATAAAATAATGCCATCAGTTTATCAATTTCCATTTGTTTGATTTGGTGATGTAATTGTTTAAAAAAAAAACAGTAAAACCAATCATGTAAATGTTTAAAAGTATCCTTGTAATAATCAAGTTTTTCTTCCTCTTCTTTTTCCGTTGTGCTACTTCTCAACTGGGTAGTTCATCATGTACTTTTTCTTCTTCAGTTTTAAGCTATAGAAACAGACTCTATAAAAGTGGTGAACAAGAAAAGATGTGGAGTTCATCTACCGAGAAGAACCCAGGTCGACGTTTCATCCGGTGCCCTAATTCTCTGGTATATGAAATTCTATTTTTTTATTCATGTGCTTACTCTAATGTTTGGTCACATAGTTAATTTTTTTGTAGGATCCTTCAAAAGACTGTGAGTTTTTTGTATGGATGGATGAGGATTTACCTTTTCAGTGGTATAAGAATAAAGTTGTTGAGTTGCACAAGGAAAATATTGATTTGTACAAGGATAATATGATTTTGTCTAAGGAGAATAGGGAGCTGGAGATGGAGAACAAGGACATGCAGAAGAAACTAATGAATCTTGAGTTGTTCGAAAAAAAGAAGCGTACTGATTTATTCAAGGTCAAGGTTATGTTGTTTTCCATTCTTCTAGTTTTCATTTTCATTTGGTTCTTAATGGTGTAATTAATAAGGCAAGTTAGGTTTATGTAATTGAATATAAATGCTATTTTAATATGGTTAGATCGGTGTATACTAAATAGTTATATATTTGGGTGTCAAGAAGAATTACATGCATGTTTTTAATGGTTTATATCAATGTATTTTTTGTGAACGGACAAAATGGTAGAACGGTCAAAACTCAAAAGTGCTAAAATGGTAAAAGGACCTAGTGAAAATTTGCTGAAATTGTAAAGGTGTTATTCAAAGCACAAATGGTTTAAAATGGTAACAACGGTCATTTTACAACAAATGGCTAGTGCGATGTAGCAAATTACTTTGGTGAATGGTTTCTATTAAACTCAATATTCTAATTTCGAGGATTCAGCTTTCTAGTATTCCGACAAGGGAGCGGTTATCGATTAAGGGTATTATGGTTTCTTCTATCATGTGCCCGATTTGTATGGGTGTAGCGGAGACTATTGATCATATTTTTATCGGTTGCCCTGACTTGAGAGATATTTGGGTTAGGGTAGCTATATGGTGGGGTTTATCTCTCCCAGCTCAGATCTCGGTGCAGTCTTTAATTAGATCTCGGTGCAGTCTTTAATTAGATCTCGGTGCAGTCTTTAATCAGCTGGTCGGATGATGTAAATTTGTGTAGAGGTCAAAGAAAGGCGTTTGATTCGGTCATTATTACTTCCTTCTGGTGTTTATGGAATTTTCGTAATACTTCTATTTTTGGAACGGTTTTACCCAAGAAGTTGGTTATATTTGATGAAGTTGTTGAGAAATCCTTTTGTTGGATTTCTAATAGATGTAGTAGGGTAAATTTACGTTGTACTGAGTGGCTTCATAACCCCTCTTTAGCTACTTCTTTGATGTAATCTATTTCTAGCTTCTTGCTAGTTTTTTCTTTGTAATAAATTTCTGTCGTTCAAAAAAAAATTACTTTGGTGAATGTTATTATTAAAATGGTCAATTTGGTCATATTTTATAGGATATTGTCGATGTTAGGAAGTAAAGAGGATAATGCACGAAACCACACACAGACATAATATTTACGTGGTTCGGTGAATCCGATCTACATCCACTGGTAGGAAGGAGTATTCTTTATTTACGAGTAGAGCTGACAATGGGTCGACATGACTTGGGTTCGAGTTCAACCTATTTATTAATTGGGTTGAAGTTTTCAACTCAATCTAACCTGTTTATTTAAATGTGTTGATATTTTCAACCCAACCCAACACTTTAGATAAATGAGTTGTCACTAGTTGAGATGTTTATTTAGTTTCTGACACAACCTACTACATAAATTGGTTAAACTTGTATTAACTCATTTAAAATAAAAATAATAAATAAATTAACTAAAGATTATACCACTTAAATTAGTTCCCAAGTGACAAAAGCATAATCCTAATTCATAAATACATATAAAATTTTCAAATAACATTAAAAATATTTAATTTCGATGTGATTTAGGTAGGAGAGTGGCTAATATTGTCAATGCTATGAAAAATGATGAGAATTAAGATTGTATTTTTTTAAAACATAAATAATAATACAACATTATAATTTATAAATTCATACTTTAATTAATACATGATAATATTCAACTAATTATTAAATTAAATATATATTAAAGTTAAATGGGTTGACGTGTTGATAGTCTTTACCCAACCCAACCTATTTACTTAAATGGGTTAAGTGAGTTGACCCATTTAACTTACATGGGTTGAAAATCTCAACCCAACCCGCTAATTTTGGTTAGGTTCGGGTTAAGTGATTTTTGTTGGCTTTATTTACGAGTTCTCAAATAGAGATTGTAGGTTCATTTGATCGGATACAAACAAGATATAATGAAGAACAAAAAACAAGAAGATTATCAAAAAAATGGTTTTCACTAAGAAAAGTTCTCACCAAGAGAATAGGTGCACAAAGCAATTGGCAGAAAGCCGTCACAAAGACGACCACACAAAGCGATAATTAGGGTTTAGCAATATTACAAGATTATATACTACTATAGGAGATAAGATTTCTACAGATTGTCCAGATCTTCTGTTATATCAAATCCCTAATTTAATGGGATTGATTCTTTAATGATAAATGCAGATCTAGTATATATAAAGAAATAGACTAGATCATATATTCAGAATACTTCCTCACCAAGTATGGTCTCGTTTGATAGTTGTTGTCCAGGGAAAGTGTTATACGTGAAAGTTTTCTGATTGGGAAAGAAACCATGTTGTTTGATTGTACATCTGACTGACTGTGTTGAATGATGAAAAATGACCATATTACCCTGTTGCTTTAGCCATTTTAGATTTTTTTTATAACTCGACGTATCATTCTTGACCCGGTTTATGTCTGATAGTGGTGGGATGGATGAAATGTTTTAAAATAAATTAGGATGATGATGGTGTTGTCCAAAAAAAAGAATTAATCCAACAAAAATGTTTTAAAAAATTTAACTTAAAGAAATTAATAATCCAATAAAGTAATATTTATTAATATATAAATATTATATATTATAAATAATATTTATTAATAAATAAAAAGAAATTAATCCATAAAAAATAAATAAAAAAAGAATTATTTAAAAGAAATAAATAATCTAATAAAATAATATTAATTAATACATGAAAATAATAATTATTAATATATAATAATCCAGTAAAAAAGTAATAATCCAATAAAATGGAAATTAAAAAACATTTAAAAGAAATTAATAATTCATGAAAGAAATAGGCGAAGTTTGAGACACAATTGTCTTTCTGGCCCATTCAGTCAGAAAGATATGATTTGGGGGCTTTCTGGGATAGACATATCTTATCGGGAAAGACCCATTTTTTTGTGCAAATCAAACAGTCTTTCCGGTCCATTCAACTAGAAAGATCTGTTTGGGAAAGATTTGTTTGGACCTGGAAAGATGTTTATCAAAAGGAGCCTAAATCTAATATTCTCCATATTTGGACATCAGCACCAGCACATCATATGCTGATCAGGGGCATCAACGTCAGCGTCATGGAGTCACACGCTGATCAGCTTCAGCTTCAGCTAGATAAACTTCAACTTCAGCAGAGTATAACTATCAGCGTGTGTCATCAGTGTATTGGTGAACCATCAACAAGTGTTTTAACTCATGCACAACAAAAGGAGAAGAAAGCTTTGTTAAACATCAATCAAGAATTTTTTATGTTTAATTCTTTCATTTCAAAAATAGAACCCACAATAGTGAAAATGACTCTTGACCGTTTTGATTGGGTGGGTGCAATGCAAGTTGAGCCGAATGAGTTTAAAAGAAACAGAGTATTGCATTTAATTCCAACACCTCCAGAAGCTTTCGTCATTGAAGTGGATATTTTGCAACAAGCTAGACAAAGAAGGTAATGTAGTGCGAAACAAGGCCAAAATCGTTGTGAAAGGATATTGTCAGGAAGAAGACACGTTTGCTCCAGTTGCGAGAGTAGAAGTTGTTCGCATTTTCTTAGCTCATGTTGCACACAAAAACTTTGAAGTTTTTCAAATGGACGTCAAATGTTCATTTTTGCATTGTGAGCTTGAAGAAATACTCTACGTTGAACAACCTCCATGTTTCGTAAATGAAAAATATCCAGATTACTATTACATTCTAGATAAAGTTGTTTATGGTCTGAAACAAGCTCCGAGGGTATGGTATGGAAGCTTCTCCAAGATAGCCAAACCCCTTGCATCATTAACACAAAAAGACACAAAGTTAGACTAGGAAGACAAGAAAGAGGTTGCTTTCTAGAAAATGAAGAAAATGTTATCTAGTGCACCAATCCTATCCCTTCCGGAAGGAACAGAACAACTACACTACTCAAGGGTTAGGATACGTATTGATGCAAAGGGACAAGGTTATTGCTTACGCTTCCTGCCAACTCAAACTGCAGGAGAACAACTACACTACTCACGACCTTGAAATGGGAGTTGTAATCCTTTCATTAAAGATTTGGAGACACTACCTATATTGCGGATCACAAAATTCTCCATCACATCTTCGATCAAATAGACCTAACATGAGACAACGAGGATGGTTTGAGTTGCTAAATATTTACGAATGTGAGATTCGTTATCATCCTGGAAATACAAATTTTGTGGCCGATGTCTTGAGCAAAAAAGAACACATAAAACCCCACCGAGTATGTGCATTAACAATGACTATCCATTCAAATCTTACCTCTCAGATCCGATAAGCTCAACTCGAGGTTTTAAAAGAATAAAATGTCACAAGTGAAGCCTTGCAAGGATTAGATAAGCATTTCAAGCTTAGGGATGACGAAACACGATACTTCATGAACCGAATGTGGATGCCAAAGTTCGGTGACATCAGAAGCTTAGTCTTGGACGAAGCTCACAGATCAAGGTATTATGTCCATCTAGGCTCTAACAAAATATATATGGATTTGAAGAGACTGTATTGGTGGCCAAACATGAAAGCTTAGATTGCCACTTACGTAGGAAAATGCCTAACTAGTTCTAATGTTAAGGCAGAATATCAGAAGCCCTAGAGTCTACTAGAACAACCAAAAATACCCGAGTGGAAGTGGGAACAAATTTTAATGGACTTCATCACAAAACTACCCAAGACAGGAAGTGGTTACGACACTATTTGGGTAGTGATCGATCAATTGAATAACTCCGCCCACTTCCTTCCAATTAAAGAAACCGATAAGATGGAAAAGCTAACCATAATGTATCTCAAGGAAATCGTCAAATTACACAGGGTGCCGATTTTTATCATCTCTGATAGAGATAGTAGATTCACCTCGTGATTTTGGCAATAATTACAGAAATACTTGGGAGCATGCTTAGATATGAGCACAGCTTACCATCCATAAACAGACATCCAAAATGAAAGAACGAGCCAGACACTCGAGGACATGCTCCGTACTTGTATGATAGATTTTGGAAACACATGGGATACTCATTACTGTTGATTGAGTTTTCCTACAATAATAGTTATCACACTAGCATTAAATCCGTTCCTTCGAGGCCCTTAGCGG